TCAAAGTTCAATAAAAGCTTGTTTGAAACTGAATACATATCAGCACTCCCGATCGCCTCAAGGTCCAGTGGGAATCATTAATTCATTCATCTCTCCCATTTCCAAGGAAAGGATGCGTGGTTATTTTTAAACAAGATCAATCCATTCGTGAGTAATGTGATTGATGATTACTATTTAGAACACAAATAAAAAGGGTTAAGCTTGGGATTGAACTCACGACCAGGCAAGGAAAATCATTTGCATTCATTTCATACATTCATTTACATTCATTTACCTCTAACTTTTTTCATCAACAGCATTCCGCAAAATAATGCATAGAGCTTTTGTAGGTTTTGTTATTAGCTACAATTTTTGCTCATAACTAAAATCTGTATCTCTTATGCATCACGAACTAGAGCGGGCAGAACTTGTAAAATACATTCACTGAAAAACAGTAACAAGTTCTGCCCGCTCTAGTTCGTGATGCATAAGAGAAACGGATTTGACTAGTTTGCAAAAGTTGTAGCTAATAACAAAACCTACAAAAGCTCTACACATCATTTTGCGGAATACTGTTGAAGAAAAAAGATAGAAGCAAATGAATGTAAATGAATGCAAATGATTTTCCATGTATGCTCACGACCTTCTACTTGGAAAGCGGAAACGGTAACCACTACTCTACTGATTTCGTCTTTTTGCTAGACTGAACCAGTGTTGTCGAATAAAAAATCTAATACGTCGTTAATAAACCATTTACAAAGCATGCAATTAAAACATGGACGTATAGTGGTATAAGAGCTATTTTGCTGACCTTATTCACCTTTATACATCAATATTGTAAAGCAATGCACTAAAATCTAATAATGGAGCTAGAAAACATTTCTAAGACGTATAATGAAGCATTTTATTAAATTAATTGAAGACAGTCGAATTAAAGCGTCAGTGTATGTGCAAATTACACTTATTCAGTTTGTTATTAGATCCAATTTCTGGGTTTGAATCAGGAAAACAGTCAACGTTTATAAACCTTTTAATAAGTAAATTATTCATATCAGAGCAAACCTCGGAGCAAACAGCGGAATAAAGGCGCATCTATCGATCTCAATGAGCTTTTTTCAGCACCTAATTCGACATCCTGTTTTATTCAGCATTGTACACTGTTAAACAGCATTTATTCAATATGTATGCTTATTTGTGACTTTGAATTGTTTGTTGGGCTCTTCTGATGAAATTAATTTGGGCAATCACTGGGAATGATCCATCATCAGGGCAAAAATCTAATAATTTTTCCCATCTTAATTCCAAGAAGGAAAAAGTCCCCCTTATTGTGGTAACTACTTCCGATTTCCACGCTCTTCGTACGGAACTTTTAAACTTTGCTAAATTCAAGTTTTCACTTCAAATTGGCCGTCGGGTGAATGCCGTGTATTGGCTGAAACATTGGACGGATTCAAACGTCTTCCTAAATATCTTACTGAGAAGCAACACACAATTTTCACTTACGCCACTAATACTGAACATCTGTTCAAGGTTGTCTTAAACGGTCTGCCCAGTGGTGAATCTCTAGATCAGATCAAAGATGAATTGACAAAATTACTTGGAGTTGAGCCAGCCCAAGTAATCAAAATGAAAATTAAATCCCGTCCGAGCGATTCGTACAACGGGATTGCAAATGATATTTATTTAGTTTTACTTCAAGTCTAGTGAAATAAGCAAACCTTAAAGCCTTAGAGAAGGCTAGCCTTATGTTCCATGACCGATTGAAGTGGGAACACTTCAGGAAGACTGGAATAAATTTCTAAAACCTCACCCAGTGAGGAAAGTGCCAGGGATGGAACGGAACAAAAATTTGCTACATGCCAGCTTAATACATAAATTGTGGTGATTTCTCTCCTATCCTGTTGCTGTGGCCAGTGCAGTAGAACCCGAAAACTTTATTCGAAACATTGTTACAACAAGGCAATCAGTGAAAATCCTGGTGAAAATGATGTGCGATATGATAAATATCAAGATCAACTCTAAATCAACCGGGGGATCCAAAATTCCCTACTTAATCTATCTACTTAACCACCAGCTCCATAACGAAAACTACCGAGCTAACGGACAGCCCCACAGCCAACGCAATCCACGTCGAAGTGAGATCCTCAAATGCGAGCATCCCCAAGTCTTCAATATCGTTCTTTCTGAATTCATCCCGGTCCTCCATGGAGTACACATTGAAAATCTCCTCCTTCCATACACCAAATAAACCGCTTTCGGAAAATGACAACAGCTCGGCCAGTGGGGTCTTCATCAATCCAATTCAGTGCATACCGATGGTAGTTTTTCGCTTTTGATCGATCAGGACGTACTTGGGTCTTCTTCTTCTTCTTCTTTTCCTTTATTTAACGTCGGTCTCTGTTCCGCAATCTAGTGGCCAATCACCGACGGACATCGATAGCCATCCATTGACGGCAACAGAATGTGCAGCAGGAAGGCAGCTTTTCCACACCTGCCATCGCACCCATTCACAACACACATGGGCCGAGACCAACGGCTTTACTTCCCTTCCGAAGGAAGACGTGACCAGAGATTTTTAAGCCTCAGAAAAATCCCACCGACCTCGGCTGGGATTGAACCCAGACCCATTGGGGTGTTAGAAAGCAGTCACGCTTACCACTACACCACCGGCGCCGGCCGTACTTAGGTCGATGCAGCTTAAAGTCATAGTTGGACAGCAGAGAAATTATGTGCGATGCAACAAAGCTCAGACTGATGTAACCATTGACTCCATCCATTCGAATCTTTGGGAAATACAAGTGGTCCCAGGATACTGTCGTTCAGAATTTCCAGATCGAGGCTCAAATGAGTTTTGAACTTCAGCCCGGAATGTTGCAGCTCCCGAAGCGTTCCAGTTTTTCCAACCGATGGCTTGTTGGTCATAAATGAAATCAGTGCCAACATTTCAAAGGGGCGTAATTGCATTTGTAAACAATGACTTTCGTCTTCGATTTCTTGCGAATGAAAGCTCACTCATGAAAATGAATGACACCAGCAGGTAGAAGAATGTTTCCTGTCCCAGCTAGCATTGGTAATTTGGAGGGGTGGGCTTTTATTTGCGAGAAATCGACGGCAAAAGCCATTGTTTATAAAAGCAATTACGCCCCTTTGAAATGTTGGCACTGAAATGATCTTTGTTTCGTAAGCGTTCACTCAAAAAATTTGTCACATAAATTTCACTGGGAAAAACACGTAACCTTCAGATATTATAAATTATCTGAAAAGTACATGACGTTTTTAAAATTCATTACAAATCATATTAAAAGCAATGTGATAAGTTTTTAAACTTAGATGAAATTTATATAAATTTCAAGTGAATTTCATATAAGATTATTTCACTTAGATTCTACATGAATTTATAGTGTGAAAATTTCTGAGTAGCGATGGCATAAACAAAACCTAATATGGCGTCCAAACGGTGCATTCCTGACGACCGGTTGATAGATTTGCAAATTCCATTGGATTTGTTGAATTTTCTGAAAAGTAAGTTGTTTTATTTTCGTCATCATACACCATTTACTAATCATATATTTTTTGTAAAAAGAGGAATCGACGAGTTTGATTTCCTTACCATCTCACCCGAAAGATTGGCAGAGGAAGTGCAGCTGGCCGGGGTGGCTGTCAGTTGCATTGCATTGGATTGACAATAAGTTTTTGTGTGTAAAAATAGCTTAAACGTGTAAGTAGATATAAGAAACCATCTGCATTAAGCTGAGCAATAAAATAAATCAACAAATATCTATCCAGTTATTTTTATTATTTCGAAAAATCATTTTAGAACGCCTAACAACAGTTTGGATGCTACGAAGCAATTTACGAAAATTTAAGTGAAAGTGTAATAAAATTCATATAGAAAGTACTATAAAATTTATGTTGCTTTCTAGTGGATTGGGGTAAGATCTTTTCACTCTGAGTAATTTTCATTTAGATGTTACATGAAAATATAGTGAAATTTATTTCAAAAGCCTATACTACCTATTACAGTTTTATGTGGATTGAAATTAAAACTTTAGAACCGATCTACATATGAAAAACGTTTACGTGAAAAACTAGATGGAAAATATCTATACATGTTTTCATGTAATATCGAAGTGAAAAATTTTCTGAGTGTTTACATCAGGAGAAATCAGTGCCAACATTTCAAAGGGGCGTAATTGCATTTGTAAACAATGGCTTTAGCCGTCGATTTCTCGCGAATAAAAGCTCAGTCATGAAAAATAATGATACCAGTAGGTAGAGGAATGTTTCCTCTAGCAGCTAGCATTGTTAATTTGGAGGGGTAAGCTTCTATTTGCGGGAAATCGACGACTAAAGCCATTGTTTACAAAAGCAATTACGCCCCTTTGAAATGTTGGCACTGAGCTAAGCACATGCAAAATTCCGTTATGTCTGGTTGGCGTTTTTCCTGATACTTGCAAGCTTGTATTTGTGTCACACCAAATTGGACTAATAAGCGCGTTTTCACTTATTAAAAAGTGTGATAAAACTGCAAGTTTACGTCTAATCGTCTTGGTTTCTTGGGTGCACTTATTCCTTATGATGCAAGCAATAAGTGCTCCGAAGACATCAAAACGATTTGACGGAAACGTGCACTTTTATCACACTTTTTGCATTTTTGGGACAGTCCAGTTTCAGATGCAATCAGCAATAATATGATTGGCTATAACTGTAAAGACATATTCAAGCTTCCGGCATGAACATGCCATTCCCACATCGCTCAAAGTTTACGGAATAAAGCTAAAAAAGCATCAGCATAGTCCAGAGATCGGCCCGCATCGCACACCTTTCAAACTCATTCCCCGGACGCAAACCCACAACTGAAACCCCGGTTGCAAAAATCCACCCTCTTCACTGACGCTGTCTAACCAAACTCGCCTAAATCTCGCAGTGCATCAGTCAGTTTTAGACGAATCCGACGTTGTCACAAACACCACCGTCTCGTCCGAACGGCCCTTCGGTGGCTCAGATTGAAGTGTATTGTTCTTGCGAAGGCAAGTCCATCGAATTTTTCTCCGCGATTTTTCGGCAATAGTGCAATTTTGAGCCCCTAGGCACCCTCGTGAGTGGGTTCAACCGGCTCCGTAAGTGATCCGTGATCGGTACGCGTTCGAGTGCTATGTCAGTGATCGGTTCGGGGGTAAATTTCTGTGAAAAACAGTGAAAAGTTTACCCATCGAGGGGTTTTCCACCTCTTTTTTTCTCGCTTCAAGAAAGGCATCTGAGTGTGCGTGTGACGTTGGACGCCCATATCCCACGGTACGGTGTGTGCGTGATTGGCGTCAAACTCGTCTAATAGTGAAATTTGTTTACAATCCGTGCGGGTGTGTTGGTGACGGTGCGGTGTTTGTGGCTTGACAGCCGATCGTGGGTTTGCTGACGAACGGCTTACCCGAACCCGAAGCAGCTGAAAACAACCGCCCGAAGAGGGCTTCGTTTGCCGTTCGGGTCGAGCTTCGTGCGAGTTCGTGCCCTCGTGTGCCGTTCGGTTGGAGTTCGTGTGGGTTTATCGTCGTGTGAGAATCAAATCGTCCGTGCAAAAGTCTATAAACAGAAGACTAGTGATTTAAACCATTTTGTGTTTACGCGTGTGTGTTTACGTCGCGTCTTTCGCGTGATTGTATTGTTGTGTTTTTTTTCCCCGTCGGTGGTGACGGTTCTGCTGTGGTTGATTTTTTTTTGCTTTCTCTTGTGTACGATATTTTCATCACGCGCGCGTTCCTCTGTCGGAGGAAAGAAGTTAGGGAAAAAAGTGCTCACAGAAGCTGAAAATACATCTCAATTCTCCGTCAAGAAGTGCGAAAGCCACCGAAGTGTGAGCGCGGGCAGCAATAAATAAAAACTAGCTCGGAAAAACGACGTTTTTCCGATCAGTGGCTGCAGTTTCCTTCGATTGTATCTATCGCAGCTGGAAACAACAAGTCAAGGACGGTCAAAGCATCGCTGATCCAGTTGATTTCTCGCTGGCTGGAATTATGGATTACGACAAGTCAGCACTCTTAGCCTAGGTACGACCACACAATCAACAGCATTGTCAACTACTACTTGCATGTCCGCTCTTAGCACTTTATCTCATTGTTAAAGAAAAGAAGAAAAAGAAACTCAATCTCGCCCTGCTGCATGAGAAGTAAGGTGCGAGAGGAAAACTGAAAATCAATAAAACTCGAGGGCATTCCACCGGAATCACACTACAACAGAGTCCAGATATGCGCCCCAGCGATGTCACGTAGTTCGGAACTGGTGGTGCTCCCTGCTGGGACGCGCGGAGTGATTAAGAGCGAACATTCCTTTCATTACATATAGGTATATCTGCTTCGCACAGGTCTGCCGGATGAAAATGCTGTTCGTCTTTTAGAGGTCTATGGGTCTGGGCTGCCCTGTCAGTACATATTCGATAGAGCAGAAAGAAACATCATTGAACGAACCGAATGAGTCAGCAGTAACTTTATGGGATCTCGTTGGAAGCTGTGGCTTTTGTTGTTGTCCTCCTCCGTTAGTTGGTTTGAAGAATCATCAGATTAAGCGACCAGCCGGGAGCCAGAAGGCAACTGATTAACGATAAGGTCACCCGGTGATGGATTCAATGGAGGGGAAGGGTGTTTCTTCAATGTTGCGATGTGGAGATAATCAAATTAAAAGCCTTCGGATATGCTGGAGCTCTGCGCAGCTGATTTATGCGAGGAATGTGATTCAATGAGAATACAATGTTGCAGTTGCCCGATTATAGGGGTTGCTTTGTTGAATTTGATTATTTTGTATTCGTGCGTTTGACAGTAATGTTGAATTGAGCTCCTGCACTGAAACAAAGATAATAGTTATACCCCGTTCACATCACAGCGTATATCACGTGATATACGCTGTCTTGCAATGAGCACTCATACATCTAGTTTTCATTGGAAATCCTATGTATGAGTGCTCATTGCAAGACAGCCTATATTACGTGATATAGGCTGTAATGTGAACGGGGTATTAGGAATACTATTTTGCAGAAAACACTTATTTTCAGTATAACTACGCTTAATACCGTTAAATCTACCATGATTTCAGTATAGTTGACTATAAATATAATGTTATTTACTACCATTCTGTCAAAACTACTATGCTTACTCAATCGGCATAGTAGTTTTGATAGAAAGAATAGTAAAATTAAATGAATTTCGTTTCTGCAAAAATCTATTGGTGGGAGTATTTAATTTAAACCATCAATATAGTATTTTTGCCAACGGATTTTGTTTATGTGTGTGTAAGAAAGAAATTGATTTTCTACACTGAATAACTTTATAACTTAACACTGAGTAAGTTTCGTACCGTTGGTACTATAATTTCTTAATGGCAACTAATGAGCAACGGACGTACCGTAGACCCCCGCTAATCTGAACGACGCTTCATGCATATGAACGGGGTTCATTTTTAATTTGCACTTCTAGTAGCCCTATCAGCATCAGAAATCCATGTTTCTGTTAGCCTTATTTGCGGTTTTGTTTTGATTCTGCGTTCTGTTTTGCAAATGTTCCATATGCTGAATGACGTTTGAGTAATTTTTAGTTTACACGGCGCACAGAAGAGTACCTAGAACAAAAAGCTGTCCAAAATAAAACACATTTTTTAAGGTTTCAATTTTGTTTTATTTTTTTGTATAAAGTATAAGTTGGTCGCTTCTTTTTAATTACTGTAGCATCTCTCTTTGTCGTAGGAAGAAACTGTTGACAGCGTTTTGATCTGGAAGGATTGTTTATTCAGTGGTGAACATTCAATCAGGATTGATAGACACGTTTAAAAGTTATCTAAGAACGTTGAAAACTCAACGTGGTCGGAAGGAATGATTGCAAAGGTTCCAAAATCGACTGTAAATACCGTGCTTATACGTTACCGGAATGCACTAACGTTGGATCGTACAAAACAAAACAAACGTAGAAGTGGAACATATGACCGAAAATTACGAGCGTAGATCATTAGGGCAGTCCAAAGGAATCCTGGGATCTCCGGACGCGAAAAGGTTCAGTTCGGCGAATCTGTATGCGAGAAGGTTTTCGGTCGTACCATGGTAGCAAACATCCCAACAGGACGCTGAAACAAAATCTGGTTGCCAAAAACCGTGCAAGGAAGCTGTACGAGCAAGATCTGACCAACTATAACGGATGTATTTTGATGGACGATGACACTTACGTAAAAATGAACTTTGGACAAACTCCGGATCAAGAAGGCATCGAAGATTTGACAAGGCATCTGCAGTTGTGGAAAGAAATCGAAGGTTCTCATCACTGGATCAGCTATAAATGGACAATTTTACAAGGAGGAATGTCTCCAGAAGAGAATTTTGCCATTTATTCAGTCACAAGAAGGTCCCGTAAAGTGTTGGCCCAACTTAGATAGCTGCCATTACAGCAGGGATGTCATTGAATGGCATAAGCAGAATAATGTCGATTCTATTGAAAAACGTATCAATATCAATCCACTAAATTGTCCAGATTTTCGTCCCATCGAAAATGTTTGGGCAATTATCAAGTGTAAATCGAAGAAATGTGGCAAAACAATCAAAACACTATCTGATTTGGAGAAGGGGTGGGAAAATATGGCAGTTAAGGTTGACAGTACTACCAACAATCAATACGAAACTAACGATTTTAAATTGGCTCGAGCAAACGATTAACGTACCCCATTCTAGTCATAATTCTAGTACTACACAATGTTTATTTTGATTCGCTATGAAAGTTTGACAGATAAAATGAGGGGTTAGAGGATTTTCCTATGTTTCGAGGAGTGAATCGATTAGCTTGGGACCGAAGATAGTACCAGAGCTGAGCCAAAAAGTTGAGCACGTTTCTTCGGGACCTACTAGTCTTAGAGTTACCTCTATGGTACTACTGTGGAGGTATTAAGCGAAAATTCATGCAAACAGGTTTACAGGGTTCCGATTTACATAAGGATCTAGGTTCAAGGTTCAAGGTCGGTCGATTACTGATTTAAAATAAGCTCAATCTTTTAACATTATGTTGAGCATCAATCGGAAACACAATAAACGCCAACGACAGCTATCGATCTTGCAGTTCAAATGAATATTGTGAGTTATACAATCGAAAGTTACGTTTCCAATGTTCTTCCCAACAGTGGGTGACTGCTGAGCTGCAACGATTCAACAAAATCCGGACGTTGGATTCCTTTTTAAGGAATAGACACGAAACGATTGATTCGACGACGAGTGTCAGACGGTTTTGGATGAGCAGAATGCAGCGAGGGCGATTATGAAGCGATAGAAACAGAAGTCTCGGCTCATCTTTTCTCTTTGGATCGCCATGGTCATGTAAAGGCATTTGCGGATGTTTTCGACACAAACTTCGATGAAAGAAGTTACGATTCAGCATCCAATACGAAAAATATTATTAACGATTGAGAAAGTCAATTAGAAGTGAAGACAGCCAACTAATTTTTTCCGGGATAAGAAATGGAGCAGCTGTATTCTGCTCTAGAAACACAGCAATTCAAGAATCTCAACGCATCCTGTTAAGGCATTGTGTCTTGAGCAGAATTGTTTCGGGTTAAGGAGGGAGGTATTTTGACGGACAAACGTGAGGTTATCGAAAGGTGCAGCAGCACTACGATGAACACCTGGTTGGCGCAAAGCAGATAACCAAATAAGCAGAAGGACTTGACTTCATCATTGTCATTTCCCTGATGAAGACTGCACATTGTAGTCGAAATATGTATCTGTCATTGATGCACAAAACTGAGTGGAATTAAACGGAAAATAATTACCTTTTCTTGCTCTTGTGAGTATTCCACTTACAACCCAATTGATAACTTTCATGATTTCCAAGTTAGCTTTAAAAAAACATTTAAAGAAATTGGGATTGAATCTTAAAACGAATTCTAATGAACCTTGGATGGTTCTAATTGAAACCTAAGAATATTCTAAGGATATTTCATAGAATGTTTTGCCATCACTTATCTCGATATGCTCCTCTTCATTTTGTACCGACGGAATTTGAGGTGAACGCGCGTTTGGCGGGTTTGTTATCCGGCATTCTCACAACATGTCCCACCCACTACGCTTTTGCAGCCTTGGTGACTTTAGAAATACAGAGGAATGTCAAGGCAACGCTGGGAGCATTCCTACTGAATTTTGAGGAGAAATTCAACGAGAGTTTGAAGCATGCCCCAAGCAACCAAAAGTTCCGCATTCCACGATAAAATCCACTTTCAAGTTCCATAAAGTTCTTTTAAAGTTCTAACAGAACTTTCTGGCTGCTTTAAAGTCTGGTCCACTTAGAATCCGGACACTATATTTATTCTATAGTTGCAAATAAGAAGAGAAAATATCTCAACTTTTCTGCAGTCTGCTGCAAACAATACGAAGACTTCTTCCTTTAGCGGAAATGACTGTGTCATCAGCGAACAAAGATTTTTGGCAACCCTGAAGCAAATCAGGGAGGTTCGAAGTGAAAATGTTTTACAATATAGGCCCAATAATGCTACCCGGAGGAATTCCAGCTCCAACAGGTAGTCGTTCAGATTTGGAATTTTGATAATTTACCTGTGGAGTTCTGTCAGTTAAATAGTTTTGAACAAATTTTACAGTTTGTCTTATAACGCATTCAGCCATATAGCGTTTGAGTTAGTGATATCTGCAATTAGCAATGCCCTTGCTGTATCTCTTCGGACCGACAGGTGATCCAGATGGATCAGTAGCAAACGACTTTCTTTGCTAGGCAATCAGAAGGGATCCGTCCACGGCAGTTTATCATAACATATCTCAGGAACCGTCGCTGAACAGACTCAACTCTTTCGACAGCGTTGTTGTAGTTAGGAGTCCAGACTACCGAGCAGTATTCTTATATGGAGCGAGACAAGGAGCAGTACAACGATTTAAGGCAGTAGACATCTGTGAAGTCTTTCGCAATCCATCCTGAAGATAAACCTTAGAATTCTGGAAGATTTGTCGACGGCATACGAGATGTGCTGCTTGAAAGAGAGTTGTGTATTCAAAATCACACCTAGGTTCTTAATTTGG